TTCAAACACATTTATGGCTAAAGCTGAGAATATTAAAAACACAGTGAATATCAGTCATTTTTATTTAATCATGATGTGCAAGTCAAAAAAATGAAGAATGAACTTCAGTAAAACAGAAAGTAGAAAACCAAGCTGTAATCTTTGAATCTTTTTAAACATTTTTGTTTTTCTCAGAAAAAAATGCATTTCTTCTTATCTGATTTACATGAGATTCCATAACTCACAAGTCATCTGAGTAAAACAATTTGGACCATTTTTTGTTTCGATTTGGATGTTTTATTCAGCTTTGCTGAAATATTTCAGTGTCCCAGGAAACAATGACAATTAAATGAATGTGAGACATTAAAACTGACTTCAGCAAATATGCAAAAAATCCTGTATAATAATATGTAAATAAACTTTGTCAGTGTTATTGAGACAGATGACGTTAATTACATTTTCTCAATCAAAAACAGAAAAATAAATTCCTTCACCTCAGATTCAGTTGGATARTCCATGATATCCTGCTGGTACATAAATGAGTGAAGTGTGATGCATTCAAGTTGTGTCAGAAAGGCAAAATTCGAACAGTTTCTGGTGTTTTACATGAAGTCCGTTACGAAACCTGTTCTCCTTGTTTTCATCTCATCTCTCTGTAAAGTCTTGAAGCAGAGCTTTGTTTTTCAGTGGAGGGGTCCTCTGCTGTATCAATCTACATGTAACAGCATGAAAATGTTGTGTCGCTGCCTTTCATCTTGGAAGTGGGAGTTATAGAAAATGATCTGTTTTGACAAGCGGGTGGTATGACGGCTCAGCTGACAGAGCTGATGCCTCTCAGCAAGGTGGCTGGATCAAATCCCAGTCCAAGACCTTTCAGTTTTCATGTTCACTCTGTGCATGTGTGGGTTTTCTGTCCACTTTCCTCCCTCAGACCAAATGCATGTCTGTAAATAGCAACTCTAAATAGTCTTTAKGTGTGAGTGAGAAAGTGACTGGTTGTGTTGTTTTAACCAGCTCAGGGTCAGATTAAATGTGTGAAGATTCTCCTTCCTTGTTTCTTGAAATTTCAGCATTATTTTCAATAAAATGGGGAAATTTTCCAACTTTAGACCACTGGTGTAAAATTTTAGACATTCTCAAAGAATGAATAATACAACTGCAATTTTGAAAAAAGTCATGAATGTTAAACGCTAAACATGGCAGTACAATGGTTTGGTGGTCGCCTCACGGCAAGAAGGTTCAGGGTTTGATCCCCCTGTGATGAACTTGTAGTTTAGCTCCCTGCAACCCTGAACATGAAGACGTAACTAACAAGATGACAAAGTTATTAAAGTTGTCACTGCAGCTCTTTTTTGTTATATCTCAAACAGAAAATAAAGATGTGTCAGCCAGCCAGCCCGTCTCCTTCCACACGCCACAATGCAAAAAGAGAGGTTTTAACCAGTCACAGAAGCAATGCATGTAAGACAGCTATTTTTTTGTTTGTTTTGTTTTGCTTTGTTTCTTTTTTACTTGCAGACTGCTTACACTACTGCACAGTATCTTGTGATTCTATAAAGCTAATTTTGCTACTTTATTTAATTTGTCTCTGACCTTTCACCAGGTTGAAAGGTCAGCTCTTGTCACAGCAGCATATCCTCACAGCACCATGTCTCAGTCACATCTAAGAGATCTCTCTGGTCATATCTCCTCAACATGTCATATGTGTGTGTGCATGCTTTTAAACACTACAATCATTACATATTTATATGGGTTTTCTGCATTGGAATGTGAAGAAACTCTTTTTTGTGGACAAAAGTAATGCTCTTCCTACAAAGACAAATATGTGGAATTAGTAGAAAAGGATGATGACAACTTTKTGTTCTTTTCTTGAATGTTTACTTTTTTACACCAGAACTGATGAGTCTTTTTCCTTGTAAAAGGAAAACTTCAGTTTTTCCTTCTTGCAGACATGCTGAGCACAGACTTTCTGCAAATAGTAAAAAGAAAAAAAAAAACAGCAAATGTATCAGTTGGTTTGTGGAAGTCATAACCTCTGATAATGGTGTGCCAAAAGCCTGACGTCAAATATTTACCACCTGCCTCCAAAATGTTGAAGGCAAGGAATATATTTTTAGCCTGTTTGTACACATGTATGTTTGTTTGTATGCTCTGTTAGCAAAATATCTCATGAACGGTGAATAAATAGGAACAAACACACCGAGGCACAGTTGTGTGAATTTATTAAGTTAGAAAATTTAAAAAGTATCAGTGCCTGTTTTATTTGAAACGTTTTCAAAATGTTATCAGCTTGRCAGCACGACAGCTCAGAGGTCAGCCCCGATAACTCAGCAAGAAAGTCCTGGGTTCAATCAATCAGATCTGGGGTCTTTCTGTGGGGAGTTTACACGTTCTCCTCGTGCCTGGTACTCTGGTTACCCTCACAGACTAAAAAAAAAAACAAAAAAAAAACATTTACAGCCTTCAGACTCAGGCCTTCTGTGCAAGAGAGATCTGTGATCTCAGTGGGATGGGCCTGGTTAAAAAGCAATGAAATTAAAACAATATATAAAAAATGCATACCACAACTTTTTTTTGTGTGTGTGTGTGTGTGTGT